CTAGATCCGTCTCTCATCTCTCCGGAACCGACCACGTCGGCATCGTTGATACCACCCTCACTTTTCTTACCACGTAGCACGTCACCCGCTACAGGTCGACGCCCGAAGGCGGAGGAGCCTGCGCGATCCTCGCATTCCCCGAGTGAAGCCGGTTTGGGAGCCATCCTGATCGACAGGATGACGAAGTGGGGTCTCTCGTTCGACGGAACGACGGATCCACTCGGGTTTATAGAGCACATCGAGGAGCGGGCCGATACTTGCCGGATCGACCGGAGATATCTGGCTCAAGCCTTGGTGTGTTCGGTGGTGCTGACTAGGGAGGTTCGCCGCGAATTTCTAGATTTTTCCCTGCCACCGCGGTATTATCAACGACTGGAGGACGAGATCCGGACGCACCTGCAGCGACCCAACGAGCCGTTCAAGGAATACTTAGTGGATCTTCGCTTGCAGATGCGCCGAGCTGGATTCTCTCCGGACCGGGAGTTGGAGCGCGTCTACGACAACATGCTGCCGGAGTACCAGCTGTTCACCCGAAGACAGGACTTCCGCACCCTGGCGGAGCTGACCCACCTGGTAGTGGACTACGAGGTGACGCGCAGCCGGAATAGAGGCCAGGATCATCGCTCTCCGAGCCCTCGACCGGAAGCTAGACGCAACTATGGGACGAAAGCCGGGCAGACGCCGCGCCGTGCCCCACCAGCAGCCCCAGTGGGCAACCCTTTCAACGGAGGTACCAGCCGAAACGCGAACACAAGCCAGAGCACAGCCTTTCTTGCCACATCGGAGCCAGTCAACGCCCGCGACGCCTGCCGCAACTGCGGCCAACCGGGACACTTCTCGGCCGAGTGCCGGAACCCCCGCATCATTTTCTGCTGGGACTGCGGACGCAGAGGAACCCGGACTATCGATTGTTGTCGGCGTGCAGCATCGGGAAACGGGAACGGGCCTCGAGTGACCGGGAATCACCCGGGGAACCCGTCCAACCCACGCAGCCAGTAGGAGGAACCCTCCACCAACACCAGGGACGGATTCGCGCCACCATCACCATGGAAGGACGAGAATTCGTGGCCACCCTGGACACTGGAGCTACGCATAGCTTCATCAGCGAGGACCTAGCCCGAGAGCTAGGCAACGCGGACAACACGCGAGATATTCGCACACAAGTCAAGTTGGCCGACGGGACATGCCGGGACCTGACTCGGGCCCTCGCCGCCAACATACACCTGGGGAGCAAACGCGCTCCAACAGTCCTGCTAGTGATGAGCGAAGTCCTTGACGACGTTCTCCTAGGCATGGACTTTCTTTGCAGGATCGGAACCACCATGCAGTGCGGGGGACAGACCCTCAGCCTGATGCCTGACCAGTACACGGAGCCACCATGGGCTCAAGAACGAGCTAACGCAAGACGCCGGAGGGAAGAGCCACGCTCTGTCCGCTTCGAGGAGCCACGTTTCGTCCACTTTGAGGAGCCACACTCCAACCCTCACGGAGGGCCACACCCTACGCCGCAGCCGAGAGAGCCACGCTCTCAACCCCTAAGCCCGCCGGCCGAGTCACACTCTGCCCGCCGGGAACCAGCGACGACGGAGCCACGCTCCAGCAACACAGAACCAGCAACGGCCAGAGAACCACCGCAACCGGCGCCACGCGCCCGCCCTCGGAGCACAGCCCCCGAAACCAACCGGGAGACCGCCAGCACCACGCCTGCCGGAGAGGAGAGCGCATCCTCCCGGAGGTCGGCAGTCATCTCGGGCACAGACCCGTCCACGACGGGGAACCAGCCGCCAAGTTGGAGCCACGTCTTGCCTGTGGCAGATGCCACCGCCGCGCACCGAAATCCATTTCGCACCTCCAAGAAGCGTGTCCGTTTCCAGGACCACGTCGAGGAAACGCCGGCGCAAGACTCGCCTCTCTGCGGAAACATTAACTCGGTGAGTCACCCCGCTGGGGATCCAGATTCAACCGAGGCGGAAGAGCTCGAGACCCAAAGCTACCCAGAGCCCTGGGTAGAGGAATTCCTGGAGAAGGAGCTGGCCTTGTTCGAGAATCTTTCAGGGGTGTCCCACATAGCGGAACACCACATCATCATGCGCAGCGATCGGCCACTGAAGCAGAGATACTTCCCGAGGAACCCGGCCATGAGGGCCATCATCGACAAACAGATCGACGAGCTTCTTCGAGACGGGCGGATCGGACCCTCGAAGAGTCCGCACAGCGCGCCCATTGTGATTGCAGCGAAGAAAAACGGAGACGTACGCATGTGTGTTGACTACCGTCAACTCAACGAAAACTCGGTTCCCGATGCCTACCCGCTCCCGAGGATTCACCAGATTCTGGAACGCCTCCGGAACGCCAAGTTCATCTCGACGCTGGACTTGAAGAATGGATACTGGCAGATACCAGTAGCCCCGGGTAGCCGAGAGTGTACGGCTTTCACCGTTCCCGGCAGAGGATTATTCCACTGGCGGGTGATGCCGTTCGGTCTTCATTCCGCCCCTGCAACGTTCCAGCGCGCTTTGGATACAGTCATCGGACCTGACATGGAGCCGCACGCATTCGCCTACCTGGACGATATCATCGTCATAGGCTCAACGCTGGAGGAACACGTCGCCAACCTTCAAGAGGTCTTCCGACGCCTGCGCAATGCGAACTTGCGCCTGAATCAAGGAAAGTGCCACTTCTTCCAACGACACATCGTCTACCTGGGACATGTGATCAGCGAGGCGGGCATCCATACGGATCCGGACAAAGTTGCCGCGATCCGCGAGCTGAAGCCACCAACTTGCCTAAAGGAGCTCCGGAGGTGCCTTGGGATTTCATCCTGGTATCGCCGCTTTGTTCCAAACTTCGCCGACGTGGTCGAACCCATGACCGCGTTGCTGAAGAAAGGCCAAAAGTGGGAGTGGACATCGAGGCAGGATCACGCTTTTCAGGAGCTGAAGGCGCTACTAACGAAGGCACCGGTCTTGGCCTGTCCGGATTTCGGCCAGAAGTTCGTTCTACAGACGGATGCCAGCGAGTACGGAATAGGAGCCGTATTGACACAGACCATCGAGGGACAGGAAAGAGTTGTCGCCTATGCCAGTCGCCGGCTCAACCCGGCCGAGAGGAACTACTCCGTTACGGAGAAGGAGTGCCTCGCCATCGTCTGGGCAATCAGGGAAGATGCGATGCTACCTCGAGGGGTACCGTTTCGACGTGGTGACGGATCATCACTCGGTGAAATGGCTGAATTCGATCGATAACCCGACGGGCAGGATTGCACGCTGGGCTCTCGAGTTGCAGCAGTACCAGTATGACGTCCATTACCGGAAAGGGGCCCAAAATCTTGTGGCCGACGCCCTTTCTCGCCAACCGCTGCCTACCGCGCAGCAAGCACAGGTACAAGGAGTCAACTGCCGCTGGATCAAGAAGATGCTTCAGAAGATGCGGACAGAACCCGCCAAGTTCCCCGACTACAGGGAGGAGAACGGACAACTCTATCGCCGCATTGGTCTTAAGCCAGAAGAGGAGGAGTACACGCCATGGAAGCTGTGCGTTGGGTCGGATTACCGCCAACGCGTCCTCGAGGAATGCCATGACCACCCAACCGCCGGACACTTGGGAATCCGGAAAACTAGTAATCGCGTGGCTCAGCGATACTACTGGCCGGGTTCATTCCGCGACGTCGCGCGCTATGTTCGTCACTGTACGAGTTGCCAGAAGTTCAAGGTAAGCCAGGAGAAACCTGCGGGGATGATGTTCACCCGCCAGGTCGACGAGCCATTCCAGATTCTCTGCGCGGACTTCGTTGGACCGCTTCCACGATCGAAGCAAGGCAACACCATGCTGTTGGTGTTTCTGGATGCCTTCAGCAAATGGGTGGAGTTGGTGCCACTACGAAAAGCCACTGGAGCACAGCTTGAACGCGCCTTTCGGGAACGGATCCTGAGCAGATTCGGAGTGCCGAGGACCTTCGTCTGCGACAACGGCACGCAGTTCACAGGGCGATCTTTCCAGAACTTCTGCAAATCGCTGGGCATGGAGCTACAACACACGGCGCCGTATACGCCAAGGCAGAACCCGACGGAGAGAGCCACAGGACGATCAAGACGATGATCGCCCAGTACCTGGATGGAGGCCCGCAGAACACATGGGACCAGTTGTTGCCGGAAATCTCCCTGGCCATCAACAGCAGTGTCTCCGACACAACAGGATTTAGCCCAGCTTTCCTGACGCAAGGGCGAGAACCGAGGCTGCCACGGACTCTTTACGACGAGCTCACACCAGGACGAGGCACCCCCAGAGGTGGCCCCAACGGACCGAAGCCAGCAGCTGAAGGACATCTTCCGAGTAGTGCGAGAGAACGCCGAGCGCGCTACGGCGGATCAGGGCCGACACTACAATCTCCGCCGACGGACTTGGAAGCCGCCGGTAGGATCTCTAGTGCTGGTGAGACGCCATGCACTCTCCAACGCTGCTGAAGGATTCGCCGCCAAACTGGCCGCGAGATACGAGGGACCCTTTCGAGTGGCGAAGTTCCCTTCACCAAACATCGTCCAGCTACACGTACCCGGCAGCCGCCGACGTCGTACTGCGAGTTTGGGGCAGCTGAAACCCTACCGACAGGGAGAAGCAGATGACCACGCCGAAGGCGCGATCGATGACAGCGACTACGAGGAAGACCACGCCGAGGACACGCAGAACTCAAAGCAGTCAGACGCCGCCGACACGAGCCACTAAGCCACGCCCCACTCCACGCCGCCGCCACTATGCCACGCCCAGATCGAAAGATGGCCATGTTCAGAGGGGCCACTTGCTGACAGGCGCGCCTGTCCAACGCTCCTACCCCCTAGGGGGAAACATGCGCCCTCTTTTCGCAAAACTTAGAAATCGAGCAACTCTCGGTTGGGTAGGGTCCTTCGAAAGCGCCCCCTAACAACGCCGTCTCTTTTGCTCTTTTCTCTCCACAGACACATCGATCATCACGCAGCACGAACGCACTGCTAGATGGCCTCCAGATGGGGCATCGGCCCCAACCTTCAGTCCTCGCGCCACTCAGTGTGGCCGGAATCCGCAGACGAATCCCGTCCGCGGAGCAGGTAGACGTCCCGCCGGATCACCGCTTCGGCCCAATACGGGTGGACACCACCCCGCCACGACCACGGCCAGCCGAGGCCGCCCGCACGCCTGCCGACCAGGGCAAGCAGCCAGACACGGATCAGGGACCGCCGCCTTTGGTCCCGCTACACCCCCACCCGGAAGCAGACCACAGAAGGGAGGCCATCACCACGGGCAGCGCCACAGACAGCCGGCCCGTCGACGCGTCCGCACACTGGCCAGTCGCCCACGACGCCCACCGGCAACCAGGGGCAACCACCACGGGCAGCGCCTCGAGCAGCCGCCCCGTCGACACGCCCGCACACCGGCCGGGCCACCACAACAACGTCTACCGGCCACATCACCCCATCACCACGGGCGACGCCGCGAGTTGCCCTCACTGCGGCACGCGCACGCACCGGCCCGACCCCTACAGCGCCTGGGACACACACAGTCCAGGCTGTAGCAGCACCGGACCCAGACGTCGAGGTGGAAGCGGCGCTACGAGAGTGCCTAGGCGACCTTCCACCCGACGTACTGGAGGAGATGGCCCACGGGGCAGAGGGATTGGACCTGGAGGACCTTTTCGGAGAGTCTCCCGACGAGGACGGGGTAGAGCTCCCAATGCGCCCCCGTCTCCAACCAATCCGCCGACGAGCCAAGGACCCCGTCACCTCAATTCCAGCCGGATTATGAGGAGATCTCCAGCGACGAGGGAGTGGAGGCCGAGATCATCCAGATCTCAGACTCCGACGACGCCGAGCCAAGCTTCAGACCGCCGGGCACCCCGCCACCGGCGTACGAGGATATTTTCGGGCCGGGCCCGTATGCCACCAGCTGCCCGATACCCACTTGCGCGGCCTCAACGCCGAGCCAGTCACCGCCGACCACGTCACGCGGGTACCACGCCGCCGCCACTCCTCGCCGGGCAGATGGCCCAGCGACAAGCCGACTCGTCGACCTGACGACTGAAGAGGACTCCGCCAACGAGGACTCCGCCAACGAGAGGCCAGCCGTGGCCGTAATGACTCGCCCCCCGCTACCCACACCCGGCGAATATGCCGCGGCAGTGGCCCGACGCAGGGCCGAGGAGCTGAGTGACGAGCTGGGCTCGTCTTCCGCCGGGCCGGTTCAGCCAACAAACCCGGAGCCCCGTTCAGCCAGGGACCGGCCACCCACACCAGCACCAGCACGCCGAGGCCGCCGACGGAGCGCGCCCTGGGCGGATAGTCCCAGCGGATCCTCGTCCGAGGAGGAGTTACCACACGATCGCCAGGGTCACGCCCGCTGGCTACCAGTTCCCGACGGCTGGAGCACGCCCAACGGCACGCTACCCGCCGGGCTCATCCGGAGGATCCAACAGCGACTCCTAATCGCCAGACGGAGGGCCCGGCGCTATCTAGAGGAGGAGCAGGGCCAACGATTCCGGGTGCAGTTGAACAGAGACGACCACGTACGGGTCTTCCTACACCCCACCCGGAAGTGAGGAGGGAGTGTGACGACACGATCGGTCGCCACAACACTATAAATATGTATATATATAATCTAAAGCTTATAATTACGATACCTAAAATTAAGACTAAAATTAAGACTAAAGTTAAGCACACACACCACCTGGCACGAAGCCATACACACACAAAAAAAAAAAAAAAAAAAAAAAAAAAAAAAACACACACACACACACACACACACACACACACACGGGACGGCACTTTTGAGAGTGATACGTACAAGTTGTGTTTTCTACGCGCTCCGCTAGTCTATCCTTTAAAGACTGTTAAAAAGTGCCAGACATCCTGGAAAAAGTGTGCAAGTGTAGTGCGAGACTCCTAGGGTCATAGCTACGTACCCGGATCGTGCCTGGATTTCGGCTTCCACTGGGCTCCAGACGCCCAAAGTCCCGGCATCCAGATCGGCGCAGGAACCTGGAGGTAAGGGAGGGGGAATCTCTCACCTCTCTTCCCAGCAAAACGCCTTCCACTTTCACTACTCTTTCGCGGTTTCCACTTTCCACGAGCCTTTTTCCCCCGCGTTTTCTTTTGCCACACACACACAGCTGATCGCAGCTGATCGTAGTGTTGCGCAACGCCAACGCAGGAGCTTCTAGCCGCGCTTAACAGCACGACACATTTAGTGTTGGAAAGCGCTTTAGTGTTGGAAAGCGCCCCTCAAAAGGGGCTCTGGGGACCGAGAAGGAGCGGTATAACTCCCATCAAGCATCCGCTGGGGAAATCCCTGTGCACCGAGGGATCCCAAAAAAGGAGCAGGTGCGATGAGCAAGGCTAAGCCAATAGGCCGGGACGATGAGACCCAGGCCCTAGCGATAGCGAGAGCCGAGGAGGAGCTCCTGCTAAGCTTCCAAAGGTCAAAGCAAAGGTGCACCACTCGCCACCCGCGGGCAGCAACGAGACGCACCCGATGTCAGCGCCGCCGAAAATGCATGCGCCGATATTCACCTTCGACGAAGAAGAGGAAGAGGTGGCCACTCCCAAGAGATGCCGGGATGCAGCGAGTCCAGATGGAAAGCAAACGGGGGCCAACAAGAAGCAAAGGGTCGAAGCAAACACGGCCGTTCTAGTGGAGAGACTGGGCGCAATGCTGGACGAAATGGTGACCAAGTTCACCGACACGAAAGGCAACAACAAGAAGGTGGTCCGCCACGTTACGCAGGGGACGATCGACGCGATGATCGCTATGAAGAAGCTGCAGCTTGACATCAGCGCGTCATTGGCCGGCGGCCACAACAAGGGCTCCACGGCTTGCGCAAGCCAGCAGACCACCCCCACGCTGTCTGGCACGGCCCCTAGTGCTACACCCGCGAGCAGCCGTGTAACTACGGCATGGCAGCAGGTCAAGCACAAGCCAAAGCCCAAAGCACCCCACGCAACGGCGGAGAGCAGAGCCCAAAAAGAGGAGCAGGCCCCTCGCACCATGAAGCCCAGGAAGCAGCGCTCCGATGCCATCCTGATTAAGTGCAGTGAAGGATCCTATGCAGACATGCTGAGGATTGTTAAGACGGAGCCCTCACTCCAAGGACTCAAGGAAGGCGTGCAAGGCCTGCGAAGGACTGCCAATGGCGGACTCCTTGTACGGATGCAGAAGTCCCCTCGACCCATCCACACAGCAGCTGCAAGCGGCCCTCAAAACGGCCATCTCCGGCAAGGCGGAGGTGACCGTCATGCAGGAGACGGTCCAGGTGGAGATCCGTGATCTTGATGACTTGACCAGCGGGGAGGAGGTCACAATGGCACTATTTGCGGGAGAGGACTGCGACATCCCAAGCGACACTGCGCCCAGAATGCGGAAAGCGTTTGGAGGAACGCAAATTGCGACGGTAAGCCTGAGACCCGAGCACGCGCGGAGACTGCTCGAGAAGGGCAAGATCCGAATTGGATGGGTAGTATGCCGCATCCGGGAGAAATTGGAGCCGAGGCGCTGCTATAAATGCATGGGCTTCGGTCACACCTCGGCAAGATGCCGCGCTTCTGAAGCTACGGCCAAAGCCACACAGGAAGCATGTTTTAAATGTGGAGGCACCGGCCACAAGCACTATACGTGCCAGGGCAAGCCCAGATGCATTCTATGCACGCGAGGTGGCAAGACTGCGAGAGACGCAGAGCACGCGACCCTGAGCAGGATCTGCCCCGAGTACGTGAAGGCGGCCAAAAACAATATCAATGGTTAGGGTTCTTCAACTCAACCTTAACCACTGTAGATCAGCCCAAGATCTACTGACCCAGACGGTCAGCGAGCAGAACATCGACGTCGCTATACTGAGCGAGCCCTACCGGCCAAAACCAGAAGGAGTCTGGCAACAAAGCACCAATGGCGGCGCAGCCATTTGGAGCTGCGGGCAGCCCCCGTGCCACCTAGCGCAGAGGGCGACGAGGCCTGGCTATGCCAGGGCTAAGTTTCAAGGGACAACCATATACAGTTGCTACCTAGCCCCGAGCTTGCACACAGACGAGTTCAGGGAGATAGTGCAAGAGATCGCCCAAGATGCTCGCGGACGATCACCGGTGATAATCGCTGGAGACTTTAATGCATGGTCCACAGCCTGGGGGAGTACGAGAACGACCCAGCGCGGAACTATCATCCTTGACGCCTTTTCCACCCTGGATGTCTGCCTACTAAATGATGGAAGAAGATGCACATTTAGCAAGTCAGGTCGTGAGTCATACATTGACCTGACCTTCGCCAGTCCAGAGCTCACCAGGAACAGCTACTGGGAAGTCACCCACCTGCTCACCTATAGCGATCACGCGGCAATCGTCTTCCAAACGAGACAAAATCAGCTTCACCAAACCAGCCGGGAAACTGCCTACAGGGTACACACCCTAAACTCCGAGGTGCTCCTAAGCTGCATGGATGCCAACACCATTACAGGCGAGGCAAACACCTGCGCGGATGTCATATCCGCCAGGATCAAGGCAGCCTGCGACGCGGCAATGGAGAAATCCACCAAGGGAGGCGGAAGGCGACCAGTCCCCTGGTGGAACCAGGAAATAGCTTCAGCCAGAAGCAAATGTCTCGCTGCAAGGCGGAAATGCCAAAGAAGCCGAGGACGCACCACGCAGGAGCTGTACGGGTCACGGTACAGGGAAATGAAAAAGGCCCTCAAGGTGGCGATCAGGACCAGCAAGCACAAGTGTTTCCAGGAGCTTTGCGATGCGGCCGACAAAGAACCGTTTGGCTCAGCCTACAAAATGGTCACGGGTAAGCTAACCAGGCAGCCGACTCCAACCTCCCAGCAGCATCTGGGAACAATAGTTGACACGCTGTTCCCGCCACAGCCGCCACTAAGACTACCCAGCGTGGCTGCGGGCGAACCGATCCCCACCTGCGAAGAGGAAGTCCTTAGCGCGCTGACAAGCTGCCAAGCATCTAAGGCCCCCGGACCAGATGGCATTCCCAATGCAGCTCTGCATGCCATAGTGAAGGCTTACCCGAAGCTATTTGTGCAGCTGTATAACACATGCATTGCTGAGAAAACCTTCCCAAGAGCTTGGAAGCAGCAGAGACTCGTGCTCATCCCGAAGCCTGGCAAGCTGAACGACGACCCGTCCTCATTTCGGCCCCTATGCATGCTGAATACGATTGGCAAAATATTCGAGCGCATCATAGGCAACAAACTAGAGAGGGAAATCGAGGAGCGCGGTGCCCTATCAACCCATCAGCACGGTTTCCGCAAGAAGCGAAGCACCATTGATGCGATCCGCGAGGTAACACAGCTTGCGGAAAAGGCCATTGAAGGCGAAAGATGGCAAGGAGGCTCCAAGAAGTACTGCCTCGTATGCACCTTGGACGTCAAAAACGCGTTCAACTCTGCAAATTGGAGTCTAATCCTCCAAGCACTCCAGCGTGGCGGCATATCTGGCTACATTATCCAGCTGATTGCCGATTACTTCAAGGACCGCGTCCTGTTATACAGCTCCGACGCCGGAAAACAGATACATCACGTGACAGGAGGCGTACCCCAAGGCTCAGTCCTCGGGCCACTTCTGTGGAACGTCATGTATGACGACATACTGAGGCTGCCACTACCCGAAGGTTGCTCTGTAATTGGCTTTGCAGACGATATCGCGCTTGTCACGGTGGAGAAACACCTATCAGACGTCTCTACTAAATGTAGCCATGCGATAGACATTCTGATGTCGTGGCTAGCAGACAACGGTCTCTCCCTTGCCGAGCAGAAAACGGAGGCCGTACTTATCAGTAGCCGAAAGATTGTCGAGAAGGTGAACTTCCGGGTCGGCTCGACCACCATCGAGTCAAGCCCGACGGTTAAATACCTTGGGGTCCTGATCGACCACAGGCTCAACTACAAGTGTCACTTGGAGTACGCAGCGGCCAAGGCGTCCAAGGCCACTGCCGCCATCTCGAGGATGATGGCCAACACGCGCGGTCCTAGGCAGCACAGTAGACGGCTGATATCAACAGTCGTGACGTCAACCCTACTCTACGCCGCACCGATATGGTCGGAGGCCATGCTGGTTGCGAGCTACAGCCGCCAATGCAGGACGGTGTATCGACGCTGCGCGCTGCGCATCTCCAGCTTCTTCTGCACGGTCTCTGAAGAAGCTGCGCTGGTGGTAGCCGGATCGATCCCTATCGACCTGCTGGCAGCGGAACGCAGGACCGGTAACTCGGGCAGCAGAACCCAGAGGAGCACCACTGTCGCAAGGTGGCAGGCGAGGTGGGATAACGCGAGCACTGGACGCTGGACACATCGGCTCATCCCCGATCTGGATCAGTGGATACACAGACGTCACGGGCAAGTAGACTTCTACACAACGCAGCTGATCACGGGCCACGGATGCTTCAAGGCCTATCTTCACAGATTCAAGCACGAGGCCGACCCATCCTGCGACTATTGCGGCGGTGCATCCGTTGCGGATGCAGAACACGCCTTCTTCGAGTGTCCGCTTTTCCGCGCGGAAAGAGAGGCAGCAGAGGCAACAACCAACCGTCGCCTTACACCCGAGA